ATTTATAGGAACAAAGGTGGTAAACAACCATGTCTCTTAACACAACTCTATGAGCACCTGGAGAAGGACAATATTTTTTCAAATGTATTCTATGTATCCCATTTCACATACGAAACTATATGTCAAAACACATGGCTGGGTTTCTGACACTAGATGATGGGAATAAGCCATCAGCTCCAGGATCCCAACACCAGAACCAGAGATTTCCTGCTATTCTGTTTTTCTGTCTGTCCTTCATCCTGCTCAGTACTGATTTCATCTGTGTTTCCTTGTATTTGACTTTCTGCAACATATCTCAATGGTCCAAAGTCAATATTACACTTAGACAACAAGAGCAAAAGCAGAAAAGAAATGAGAGGGGCTGCAAGCAACCAAAAAAAGTACACTTTCATTGCCTGTCTCTCAGAATTGAAGCAAAGATCAAACTGTAAGCAGCGACATTCCTTCAGGCTTAGCCATCTCGGAGGACAACACTAATGAGAAGGGAACTTCTCCCCTACACTTCAAACTCTAGAATGCTTTGCCAGGATTGGTTTAGTAAACGTCTCCAGAGGCTCCAAATATGCAGATATGATGCTGGAAAAACAAATATGCAGCTTTTCTCACTTTAAAAGTGCAACTGCTACATCATTTTTCCGTAAGACAAAAGCTTATAAACCACTTGGCGAACTCTTCATGTTACAAGTTACAACTATCAACTCTTCCAAAAATATACACGTCAATCTACCACACCTATAGCATTTACATTCTGGGTGGAAAAATGTGCTTACACTAACAATGGCTGCATGGTTAAACTGACCCGTTAATTAAACACCTTCCGTTCACTACCTTTTCCTAAACAGCAGAGCAGGTACACTTCATGCTATCAAAGTGGCCCTGAGCAATCTTCTTCTGAGCCTTTAAACCTTTGGATTGTTATCTTTGTTCTGCGGTTACAGAGCTCCACGACACTCATCGCTGTTACTGCTGAAAGTATAATTTACTCTGTTTACACAACTTGTAGCAACAGACTCCAAAACACCAGTGAGATTCCATCACGCACTGTTAACGGCACTTTCAGCTACATTACTCGGCAATCCTGAAGCTGGGAAGAGGAGGAGTGAGTCGCTGCTCATGTGTTCAGTGCAAGAGTGACCCTCTCCTCCTTGCCTATGCTAGCACCACAGGCAGGTTTTCCTCCCTAGCAAAAACAGCAAGCTCCAAGGGAGTCTACACAACTCAAACATGTAAACAATCACTGCTGGAAGAAATTGATTTAAACCCACCATTCAGGAAATTCAATCCTGTGGTTCTGTGTCTAAAAGCATCCAATTTGAGTGATACAGCAAATGTGATATGCATCATCATTTGATCTCTGGGAAGCCTTGAGACACTGGCAGTTGCACAGGTTACACAAAACACAGACTGCGCTTCAGATGCCAGAAGCCGGGGGAATGCCAATGCAAGAGCTGATTTGTAATGATGCAGCCTTCTGTGGTGTGACAGCTTCTATTGTTTTTTTAATAGCGGAAACACTGTCACTAAAGGAATACACAATAATAAATGGAAAACAGTTCAAGAATGGAAGGATGAGACAAAATAAATTCTGTGTGTTTAGTAAAGCCATATGCCATTTGGAAAACAATGTTACCACTGTGTTTGTACACCATAACTCTCCATTCTAGATCAACTAAGGGACACCGAGAAGCAACTGAGCTAGGTCTGCCTCCAGTTTTGCAGAAATGGACAGGACCTTACACAACAAATTGCTCCTTTGTGATACTTTTTCGATGCTGGTTTGTTTTCTGAAGTGAAGTCCTGTTCATATTCCACTACATTAGCAATTAATTCCTGCTTTGCTACCAAGCATCTCCTTTTATCAAAAAGAAACTGGGGACTATTTGTCAGGTTGTGAGACAAATACTAACTGGCAAGCGTCCATCACAGTCACTAAACAACGTGAGAAAAGTACCATCACTGGGAATAAAAAACAATAAGACGACTGCAGTGTAAAGACAGAGAGAAAAAGTTTACTCAGCTTGCAAAAAAAAACCCTTCCAGGCACTCTTCTGCTTGTGTTTGAAGCTGATGACCAAATGTACTTTCACTGGACACAGACCCATTACCAGTGTTAAGGGAAGAGGATGCTACCACCACCTTTAACATCACCCTCAAACCTCTTCTATTAAACTGAATTTTGCCCCACAGCAACAAGTAAGACAGGATTATCTGTGATTCTCCACTTCATGGACAAAAAAATAAATTCAGATGTCAACTTCTGATGATGTTTTCTTCAGCATCTACCAAATCATTAATTTTAATGGAGAAAATTAATCAAAGCTTCTTAGGGTAGGCAAAAATCCTTTTGTCTTTGTACGGCACATTGCTCTATACACACATAGCCATCAACTTTACAAATCAAACATAGTACTATCAGTACTGAAGACTTAACACATTTCAACTTAAGGCAAAAGAACTCGCAGCTGAAAAAAAAACAATAGAAAGCTGAATAAGTGCTGGGCTCAATCACTAGAGGGAGTCATGATCACATATTAAGTTACCATAATGCACAGGCCATTCTGAACACAATTATGAAACAAATAAAAGAGAAGACCATCAGCTAAATCTGGATGTCGTTCAGGGAAAAGAGAAAATTAGATTTGCTTCTTTAACAAGATTTTATTTCCAAAGACTCAAGACCTTCTCCGGGGAACTTTCAAATCATCTGTAATGAAAGGTTTTTAAAAATGTATTTTGTTGCCTACATTTTAAGACAGAATAAGGTACGTGACAGAAGAAAGAAGAAATTATCAGTTTTGGAAATGACACACAGCATTGCATCAAGAAAATGTTAGAATTTTAATTTAAGCAGCTTTACAGCCCATTTCACTTGAAATCAAAAAGTAATCTTAATCATGTTTTTATTTTTAAACTAAATTGGCACCATTACATCCAGCATGAAAAGGCACTACCAAAACGCTGCTTTTTCAACAGATGATTCCCCTTGGCCATTAAGAAATTTAGAAAAAGCATTTCTCTGACAGGCTGAGAGAAGCAGCCCGAAAAAAAAGAAAAAAATCAATAACTCAACTATTATCATCATTCTTTTATTTGATGATTTGATCAATTGTGGGTTTGAGGGTTTGCTTGGTTTATTTTGTATACAAAATGTCTTTTTTATACTGGTGAGATTTTTTTTTCCCCCCTTTGAACTTCTTAGCAAAAAACACAAAACAATTTTGGCCACCTGCACTCATGGGAATTCACACTTGGCTAACAATTTTACAACCGACTAAACAGTTATCATTAACAGTAGCAGCACACATAAAGCTTTTAACACCCAGCTTGAATCCTGCCCACCATTAGTCAGGCGAAGCCCAGAACACAATCATCTCTTGAACCAAAATCTACCACATACCTCAGGAGACACATAAGCAAATGCAGCCCAAGACAAACTAAGAGTGCTTGTCCAGTGCTCAATTACGCAGTATTCGACTGCTTTGCATTCAACATGTTTATGCCGAAGGTTGAAACTCTCCACGCTTCTGTAGCTTAGACAAGTCAGCTAACACCTTGGCAATGCAAACAGTCCAAGAGCCTCTTTGAAAGACAGAGGTATTGTTTTTAACAAGAACATACAACAGGTTCCTAATGTGAGGAATGTAGGAAGCAAGAATACGTGCACCGAGGATGAGAAGTGTTTTCTGGCATGCTATGGAACTGTGTTAAGAAATGCTATGTGCAACCAACGCAGTCTGGAAAGTTAAGCTCTGGCAGATAAATTCATTTCCCCTATCGGATATTCACTCCCACATCATGGCAAAGGCATAAATGCCCTCTAGTTTCAAACACCTATCTCACTCTGAGAGCAGCCCTGAGAAAGACTTGGGGGTGCTGGTTGATGAGAAGCTCAACACGACCCAGCAATGTGCAACTGCAGCCCAGAAGGCCAACCATCCCTGGGCTGCATTCCCAGTAGCGTGGGCACCGGGCGAGGGGGGGGGATTCTGCCCCTCTGTTCCACTCTGGTGAGACCCTCGGGAGTCCTGTGTCCAGCTCTGGAGCCCTCAGCACAGGACAGACCTGGAGCTGTTGGAGCGGGGCCGGAGGAGGCCCCAGGAATGATCCGAGGGCTGGAACAGCTCTGCTGTGACGACAGGCTGGGAGAGCTGGGGGCTGTTCAGCCCGGAGAAGAGAAGGCTCCGGGGAGACCTTACAACGGCCTTCCAGTACCTCAAGGGGCCTACAGGAAAGCTGGGGACAAGCTTTATAGCAAGGCCTGTTGCAACAGGGCAAGGGGTAGTGGCTTTAAACTAAAAGAGGGTAGGTTCAGATTAGATATAAGGAAGGCATTTTCTACCATGAGGGTGGTGAGGCACTGGCACAGGTTGCCCAGAAAAGTTGTGGCTGGCCCCCCCCGGGAGGGGCCGAATGCCAGTTTGGACAGGGCTTTGAGCAACCTGGTCTGGTGGGAGGTGTCCCTGCCCATGGCAGGGAGTTGGAACTACGTGATCTTTAAGGTCCATTCCAACCCAAACCATTCTATAACTATTAACAGACTGCTCCTCCCAAAGCCTAGCAGTACTTTGCCATCAAAACTGCAAACATATTTTTCCATGACCACCTATACAAACTGATCCTCTAAGTAGTCAAATCAAGAGTCCTTAGGGCTCTTACTCCCTTGCCAAACCCAGACGGCTACTTTACACATTCCCTTTCTAGATGAGATGGTCTGAGAAAGTAGCTTACTTCCCCTTGCAAACACTTTAGCTTATAAAATAAAGCTGAATAAACTCTTCATCACATTCTCCCACAGTTCTTCATCTTTTTCTTCCTGCAAGGATTTAAGTAAGCAAAGAACTCTTCATCAACATGGGAAGGATGGTAACAGTGTAGAAGGCTCTGTGGAGAAGCAGGGAAATCTAAAAAGCCATCCACTCAGGCTGCAGTATTTGTTTTCCTCATACATGCTTTAATATAGCAGTGTCTTGCTACTGGCATCCACTACTGGTATCACTTACCTGTTGGTGACGGTAGAGTTCTGCTCTTTCAGCACAAGCTCCCTTTGCTGCAGGGCCACAATTTGCCTTGAGAGATCATCAGGTGTCCTACAAAATTACAACAAAATAGAAACTTGTAACAAATCATTGGTTAAAATTGTTCCATGCATGACCATAAACGAAGTCTCACAATAAGCAGACAAAGCACTTTCACCAGGCTGAAGCTGCTGCAATTCCTAGAACAACACAGGGTTGCACCCTGCTCAGCTCACAGCCTTACTGCAGCCTTTGCTGTACGCTGTAATCTCCAGCCGAGTCGCAGCATCTCACCACTGCTCACTTCAACCCAGAAGCCAACTCTAAAGCAAGTCGTCAAGACCTAATTCTTTGAAGCAAGCAGCCTGCATAAATATTCATACCAGATGAACAGACAGCTTATCACTTAAACATGTATACTTTTTAACATACATAAGAACAGGTGTTCACAACCTCCTCCTCATCCTAATACTGAGCACAAATACACAGCGGTGAGCACACCCAGTGTTGCTCTAATTCTTACTCAGCTATGGAGTCTCAGTGGAGCACGATCACAGGATCTTTACCAAAAGGGTAAGAAAAGCAGGAAGTAAACATACATATAGATTACAATTCGACAACTCTGGCTACTGCTGAATAACCTCGGAGAGTGTAGCGGTTCAGCTCCCCCGCCGGTCACTCCAAGCAGTGTTCCCACACAACTGCCAGTGTGCTGACTTCAGGGTCCTTCATGCAAGTAGCCACTCCAGAGCCACGAGGGGAAAAAAAAAAAAAAAATAGTAATAATCCATCAGCTCTAGATAACACTTCAGCTACCACCCTGCTAACCTTTTCTTGTCAAAGAGATCAAAGATATCTACAGATCTGCTAGCAACAGCTCTGCAGTTGCCAGGAATAGGTTTATTTTTCCATCAAATCCAATGACAAATTCTTAAAGTTAGTGGAATGGGAACAAGATATCTCTAGTCTGGCAGTCCCCAAAACCACCATCTAACATCAACAGTCTCCGCAGAAGATAACTGTTCTTTTCAGAGACCTCTCTAAATTGTGAGTGTAAGAGATTCAACTCTAAACGAAGGCAGTTTATGAAAAAATAGAAAAAGATTTTTTTCTTGAGCCACCAGAAGCGGTTACCTATCTGAAAAGAGAACATCTGTGTCACACTTCTCAAAGGAAAGGAAGCTGGAAAGAGCATCACCGTACGTCCTTTTGCCACAGCAAGATGCATCACCCCCAAAGCGGAAGAGTGACCCAAACCTTGCAAGGAGCAGTGGGAAGCTAGTTTTGCAGCAGTGAAATCTGTAGAAACACATTCTGTTGTGTCCCCCAAGCTGCGAATCCAGGCTCCACTGTTGCTGGGAGATGAAATTAAGCCTGGCCAAATTTTATATTATTCAAATACAGACCTGGAATGAGGCTCCTGCCACCCCAAAAACTGAACAGGTAGGAGATGTGCCTCTACCTTGACCATTGGGATTCTGACAGAATCTAGGACTAAAGAAGCTGTTTCTCTGAGGATACCACTTTTCAGCCAACTACTCACATACAGAAAAGACATCATCTTTTCCTCTTTAATGATCTGTCACTTCAGCCAAGTGAAAAATCAGTGAAACACTGAGCTGGTGCAGACATTCAGGATTCATTTCTGACAATCCCAATTCAAAGGTTCCTGCTTTTTCCTTCCAGAATTGCACACTTGCAGCCTTCCTCAGCAGAAAAATTTGAAGCCTCTCATAGGACTTGTGTTACATGCAAATCTTAACAGTCAATATATAATAAAACAGATGGACGTGGTCTCCCTCAGATAATGGAGACAGGTATTGCAGCAGTCATAGAAATCTGTCAGAACAGAATGAAACACTGTCCTTCAAACACATCACATCAAATCAATGGCCAAGGAAACTATGAGAAGAAACCAAGACACCAACCTGGAGATGGCTTGATCAAAACATCTAAAATTTAAATTCTGGTAGCAGAGACAAGTCGGTTTTGAGCCAACATGCACCTGAGTTTTCAAACGTGTTGCAGCACTAGATAACACACTTCAAACTCCTGTAGCCAAGCCTGAAGGGATTCTGAATTTAAGCAGTTATCCATCTCTTTACTGAGAGCTACTTCATGGCTGGGCATCAGAGCAAATGCTGGAGCACTAATTCGACACAGGCTGACGCAAACCACATCTCCACATAACCCAAGCAAGGGAAAAACAATACTGGTTTCTTGGAATCTCAGCTCTGAAGAGCTCAAATCTAACATTGCTCTAACTTTGTTTTCCCAATTGGAGGACTTGGGTTCTTTCTACTGGTATATAAATGGAGAACTAAATTATAACATATGGTAGAAAGTGAAAGACAGTTGAATATGGTCCACAATGTCTACAAGAGAGAAAAAAAAAAACAACTCACCAGCAAAAAACCTACAAGAAGTCTATAAAGCTACAATCTGATTTCAGCACGGGTTCATTAGCTTCTACCTGCAGGAAGCAGACCTCTGACTCAGATTTTTTCCATGATTAAAGGAAGTAGATGTTCTCTTTCTGCAGTAGTTTCTAACTAGAAAAATCTAGAGATAAGTTAAGGATAAAGGCAACTTTGTGTTAGTGCTGATGAGAAAAAAAAAATACAAATTATGTTTCCCTCTCCACTTCACCATCTTTCACCTACTAGAGTCACCAGAAGCTAAAATACCAGAAAACACCAGATAGAAATGGACTGAGTGTGCTTAGTCTGTCTGGCAAAAAGAAACTGTAAGCAGACACGCTGATTTCAACTTGGACAATCTTTGTCACTTTTAATGCCAAGACACCAAGGCTCTGAAAAATGCAGTTAAGCCTCTCACAATTCAACCAAATATAGCAGATTTATCACAAGGATAGTTAGTATCAGACATCTCTCTTGCCATCTTCAGTGCCAGCTCCCAACATAAGTGTTTGGTCCCTGCATCAATGAAATAATTGTACAGATTTTTTGAAATGGGCAAAAAAAAGTATGTTTGTCTTAATTTTTTTTCTAATTTTCTCAGAAATTCATACCATAATGTATGAGGACTCAGAGAGAGAACTGAAATTAATCCAATAGTAAAATGAGACAGGATTATAAAAGCCACAGATTTCTAGTAATGATAGCTATTGACAGATTTCCAATTAAAAAAAAAAAACACGATCACCCTCATCTGTTCAGCAATTCAAATCAACAATCAGCTTCCAATCTCAGTTTCAGGAATTGGCAGCTTTAGGTTTATACTTCTTTCTGGAGGACATTTTATTGGCATTAAAAAAAAAAAAACGATAAAGTATGTAAAGTGAAACAGCATAGATATATAACAGAAAATAAAGTTAATGTGTATTAGCCTCCTCTAAAGAAGGGTTCGCTTTCTGTAGAAATTAATCACGTCAGGTGATCGGAGACAAAGACACCCCTTGCAAACACTCTGCTGTCAAATACCTTTATCAAGAGGTTTCAAAGCCTGGTTCTGAGGTCTACATCCCATCCTGATCACACACAATTTGGCAAAAGCCAAATTTACACAGTTCCAAGCAGAGGAATGACACTTCATGCACAATGAAATTAAATCAGACAAGCTTTCAATTTGAAGAGAACTGGGCAATGCCCAAAGCACTGCAAATACCAACCAGCCCTTAATGCTGTAAACAGCCCTCATTTCCCAAGTTTCTGAAAACAATGCCACATAAAGAGGGAAATTTGTCAGCATCCCAACACACACTTAACATGTTCTGGCCTTGAGAGCCTTTGGCTGATGAGCTAGCCGTATATAATTTTTGCCAAAGCACCATCTGTTCCCTACAGAACAGTTGATATCAAAACCAGTCAAGAAAAGTCAAGAAGTCTGCTTTAAGAGAATCTGTCTGACAACATACCTTAACAATACTACTCGAATCACCATTGCTTCTTGAGAGAAGTTTGAAACTCTATCTTACATAAATACACCCAGAACTCTCTTTCCACGGAGCTGCTTCTTTCTGCGCTTGTCACTATGTTTGCCCCGCAAATCTGCAGACATGATGGAGCCTACGGAGCCATGAAAAAACCCACACCTAGTCTGCAACAGCCGTGCAAAATACTGTAAATTAAACACACACACTTAACAGCATGATTCAAGAACAGAATTATTTAAGCTGAATCATATGCTATGTAATTAGAAAGATAACATGAAGAACAAATGACAAAAAGTGGCTCCCAAAATACAGGTGCAGATTAAATCACTGACTTCAGTTCCTTTCTCCTAGGTAAGGCCCAAGGAGACAAAAGCTAGAACATTCTTCCTCTGTCCCACCATCCCATCCCATCCCATCCCGAGAATGCATTTCCTTCTGCAATAACATTTAAGCAAAAAATAAACAAAAAAACAAATGGGAGAATTTAAGCCTAATTTGGAAACAAGATTTTTTTGCCCTAAACGAGTAAATTAGTCCAGCACAGCAAGACAGCAGAGGGACAAAACTGCTGTTAACCAAAGCTCTTTGACTTCTTTTGAAGTGCAGATAATTTGAAAAGAAGCAATTTAAGAACGACAAAAAACCTGTTCAAATGAAGTGAAAAATTAACTTAATGGGATGCCCATCCAAGTCACTCAATGACTTTCAGGCACCCACTGCAACACTTTTTTAACTTTTAAAACAGAAAACGGCTTATTAAATTTTTTTTAGTACAACTGGCATTTCATAGACATTCACTAGTAAGCTCTGTTGAACTGTCTTAGTTAAGGATCTATCACCATTTCATATAAACTATGACAGTTAGACTCTGAGAATTAGCTGTTGAAGGAACATTAAACCAAGACTCAATAAGCAGATGAAGATGTTAGTAAGAATTAGAATATTTTTAAATTTATAATTTATTAGAACCTGTACTTCTTATTGCTACTATATAATGTTTCAAAATTCACAAAGGAAGAGGTTTGATTGGAGTTAGATATCTGGCATTAAATTTTAACTATGGAAGTGCAAGACAAAAGTAAAACTAAATAGAAAAACAGGCTCTTAGCCAACTCTGTTTGGAGGACTGAGTTCTCCACTGCTATGTTTTTAAATTCAATTTGCTGGAAATCTACCA